GGGCGGGGCTAAACCTCATAAGAGGCGTGGCCTGATCCAAGGGGTGGGATTTTGCTCTATAAGGGGCGGGGCTTTGGTCCAAGGGGCGTGGTTTGACTCTGTAATGGGCGTGGCTCCATCCCGTGGGGGCGGGGCCTCCTCCCCGCAGCCAATCAGACCTCCAGGACTGCGGACGGACCAATGAGAGCCCGCGGGGGCAGGGCCGGCGGCCATCTTGGCTCCGCCCCTTCTAAAGAGGCCCCGCCCCGACTCCAATTTCTCCCGGTTTTCCCTCATTCCTGTGGCCCCACCCCCTATCCCTGAGGCCCCGCCCCCTCCCCCCGTAGACCCCCCCAATAAAAATAAAAAGATTTTGGTAGGAAAAACGTGTATTTTGGGGGTTGGGAAAGAAGCGGCCATCTTGGGGGGCGGGGCCACGGCGGCCATCTTGGCTGGGGAAATGGTGGCCATCTTGGTGGGCGTGGCCGCAGTGGTCACGTTGGTGGGAGGCGTCACGGCGGCCATCTTGGTGGGAGGAGTCAGGGCGGCCATGTTGGTGGGAGGAGTCGGGCCAGCCATCTTGGTGGGTGTGGCTGTGGCGGCCATGTTGGTGGGAGGATTCATGGTGGCCATCTTGGTGGGCGGGGCCACAGTGGTCATCGTGGTTGGGGAAATGGCGGCCATGTTGGTGGGCGGGGTCATAGTGGCCATCTTGGTGGGAGGAGTCAGGGCGACCATCTTGGTAACAGGATTCAGGGTGGCCATCTTGGTGGGCGGGGCCACAGTGGCCATCTTGGTTGAGGAAATGGCGGCCATGTTGGTGGGCGGGGCCAAGTCGGCCATGTTGGTGGGAGGAGTCATGGTGGTCATGTTGGCGGGAGGAGCCGGGGTGGCCATCTTGGTGGGCGGGGCCACAGTGGTCATCGTGGTAGGGGAAATGGCAGCCATGTTGGTGGGCGGGGTCACAGTGGCCATCTTGGTGGGAGGAGTCAGGGTAGCCATCTTAGTTGCGGAAATGGCGGCCATCTTGGTAGGTGGGGTCAAGACGGCCATGTCGGCGGGAGGAGTCAGGGTGGCCATCTTGGTAGGCGTGGTCACGACAGCCATGTTGGTGGGAGGAGTCATGGCGACCATCTTGGTGGGTGTGGTTACGGTGGCCATGTTGGTGGGTGGGGTCATGGCACCCATCTTGGTAGGCGTGGTCAAGACGGCCATGTTGATGGGAGGAGTCAGGGTGGTCATCTCGGTAGGAGGAGTCAGAGCAGCCATTTTGGTGGGCGTGGCTGCGGCAGCCATGTTGATGGAAGGAGTCAGGGCAGCAATCTTGGTAGGCGTGGTCACAGCATCCATGTTGGAGGGAGGAGTCACGGTGGCCATCTTGGTGGGAGGAGTCAGGGTGGCCACCTTGGTGGGTGGGGCCACGGCGGCCATCTTGGTGGGTGGGGTCATGGCAACCATCTTGGTAGGCGGGGTCAAGACGGCCATATTGATGGGAGGAGTCAGGGCGGCCATCTTGGTGGGCGTGGCTGCGGCAGCCATGTTGGTGGGAGGTGTCGGGGCGGCCATCTTGGTGGGTGTGGTCACGGCAGCCATGTTGGTGGGAGGGGTCACACCGTCCACTTCAGGCACCTGCGGGGGGGGAGAGGAGGGGTCAGGGGTTCCCAGTGGGTGTCCCCCATTCCAGGGGTGTCATTACCTGTGTCCCCCCAGGTGTGTCCCAGGTGTGTCCCCCCAGGTGTGTCCCCCCAGGTGTGTCCCAGGTGTCTCTCAGGTGTGTCCCAGGAGTGTCCCTCACCTGGTGTCCTGGTGGGTGCCGAGGCAGCGGGTGCAGCAGTACCTGTGTCCCCCCAGGTGTGTCCCAGGTGTGTCCCAGGTGTGTCCCCCCAGGTGTGTCCCAGGTGTGTCCCAGGTGTGTCTCTCACCTGGTGTCCTGGTGGGTGCCGAGGCAGCGGGTGCAGCAGTACCTGGCCCCGCAGGTGACGCAGGTGTAGGGCGAGGGGAAGCCGCAGACGGCGCAGAAGTGGCGCTGGGGGAGCCGCGACGGGGCCGCGCCGGCGGTGACGTAGTTGGGGCCCTCCAAGGCGCTCAGGTTCTGGGGGGAGGAATTAACCCAAAATTTGGCACGAAAAGGGGAAATTTGAGCCCAAAAATCGGCCCCGAAGTGGGAAATTTGACTCCGAAATTTGGCCCCGAAATTCGAAATTAAAGCCGGAAATTCGACCCCAAAATTCAAAATTAAATCCCAAAATTGGAAATTCAGCCCCAAAATTCGGCCCCAAAATTCAAAATTAAAGCCTGAAATTCAGCCCCAGAATTGGAAATTGAATGTCAAAATTCAGGCTCGAAATCAGAAATTTGACCCCGAAGTTCGGCTCCAAAGTGGGAAATTCAACCCTGAAATTCAGCCTCAAAATTCAGAATTCGAGCCCAAAATTCAGAATTCAAGCCCAAAATTCAGCCCCGAAATTCAAAATTAAATCCCAAAATCAAGACCCAGAATTGGAAATTCCATCCCAAAATTCCGTCCTGAAATTCAAAATTAAATCAAGACATTGAGCCCCAAAGAGGGAAATTCAGTCCTGAAATTCAACCTCAAAATTCAAAATTCGACTCTGAAATTCAGCCCCAAAATTGCAAATTGGACTCCAAAATCAGAAATTCAAGCAGGGGAGGGGCTGGGACGGAATTGGGGTCCTCGGAGGTGCTCAGGTTCTGGGGGGGAAAAAGGGGAAAAGAGGAGGGGGAGTCACCCCAAAATTTGGCATGAAAAGGGGAAATTTGAGTCCGAAATTCGGGCCCCAAAATTCAAAATTAAAGCCTGAAAATGAGCTCAAAAATGGGAAATGCAGCCCTAAAATTCAGCCCCAAAACTCAATATTCGACCCTGAAATTTGGCCCCAGAGTTGGAAATTCAACTCCATAATTCAGTCCCAAAATTCAAAACGAAGCCCCAAAATTCAGCCCCAAATCGGAACTTCGACCCCGAAATTCAGCCTCGAAGGGGAAAATTCAACCCAGAAATTCAGCCCCAAAATTGGAAATTCACCCCCAAAATTTAACCCCGAAAATCAGCCCCAAAATTCAAAATTCAGTCTCAAAAATCAGCCCTGAAATCAGAAATTCAATCCTGAGATTCAGTCCTGAAGTGGAAAATTCAACCCCAAAATTCAAAATTCAACCCTAAAATCCAGCCCGAAATTCAGTCCCAAAATTCAGCCCCCACAGGACTCCCCCCAACCCCCCACCCCCCCCCAAAAACCCCTCCACCCCCCCCCCCCCAAAATCCCCTCAAAGACCCCAAAATCTCCCCAAAGCCCCCAAAATCCCCCCAAACCCCCCCAAAAATCCCCCCCTCCAAACCTGCTCCTCCAGCAGGGCCTGGAAGTTCTTCCGGAAGCGAAGCTTGAAATGATCCCCCCTCGTCTTCTTCTTCTTCTTCCCTGGGGGGACCCCAAAGTCAAGGGGGGGCCCAACAGACCCCAACAGACCCTTGGGATCCCCCCAAAACCCCCCCCCCCCCCCC